TAATTCCAAAAAGTTCCATTTTTATTCCCCTATAGATCTACATAAAATAAACAACCGTACACAATCTTTTACCTAATTCACATTTCATCTGAGTGCAGATTTACAGAGGAAGCGGGCTTGTTCCTGACTCAATTCCTGAGGAAGTTTAATAAATTAAAATGTTAATCTGTTCTTTCTCAACTCTGTTGAAGGCATCACAGAAGTATCTGACAGTGACAGATAAAAAATAGCAGGCTATTATGGTATCTACTACTCAGTTAGTACTAACACACAGAGACGACTGGTCTTATCTGAGTGATACCATACGGCGTAGTGTTTCCTGGCACATCCATTCTTCAGCAAGACACACATAAGACAAATCAAATCTTCAGCGCCAATAGTTATTATAATTCTAAGATTTTCATTATTTCATTATGAAGCAGCGCTCCCAGGAAGCACATCTACACAACATGGTGCCACATTTTTACTATCACAAGGTGCTCATTTACCAGCACCAAGTCACTCATATTTTAAAAGATTTTTAAAAACACCCATCAGTCTTGATTATCACAGATAGTTTCTCAAAACTGATTATAAAAGTTATTTTATACAAAGTTCTGAGTGCAATAGTTGATAAATAAAGGCCAAGGAATGATGGTATCTAGCTTTCAATTCCCACTTCTTCCACTGTGCTGCTGTGTAGTCCTGTGAAAGGTAGTTTCACTTCTCTGTTATTAGCTATATTAGAAAACATTAAATTATTTCATATTCAAAATTGATAGATAACTATTTGCATCCCTTTCTATTCAGTCTTGGTCACAGAACGGCAGCTTAGTAGTCAAACTATTAATTTTTGTAACAACACTATGTAATTACTGACACTAAAATAGACAAATATCTGTACCTACCCAGAAAAGGCAGTGTGTAGTAGGGTTTTTTATATACTCCCTAAAAGGAGAGAAGCACAATCCTTAAGTATTTTATATCCCCAAGAACTGCACACGAAAACAGCCAGATCAACTTAAAACAGAGGTTACGACTAGTGTCTTAAAATTCTAGGTTAATAAAGGAATGACAGCTTGAACTTTGAACCTCCTTTAGTTTTGGCAGTACTGTATATATCACAACTGGTTAAAGTATTTTCTTTTTTAAGCAGAAAAAAATCATGAAAATTTAAAAAATGCTTATAAATTGTCTGCCAACTGGTTTGGGTTTTTTCTCTTCTAAATGCCTATTTAAGGTCACTTATTTAGTGCTTTTAAAACACATACTTTCATTTTAAATTGTAACCTTTAAAATGCAAAATGAACTTAAATCTCAACTCTTTGATAGTCTATAGCATAACCTGGGTGCAGTTGTTGCACTGGGGACAGGTCTAAGCGACATGTGCTTTACCTAGATGAGCTGCTATTTCTGAGCATGACTTTAAATAAATAATTTAAAATGGAACAAAGAGAGACAGTAAAACAGAGCAGGCTCACAAAGTGTTCAATAACATAATGTCATATTGATAGATAAGACTGACAAGTCCAAATACAACTCTGAATTTCATCAACAAAGTTGTTCTTGAATGCAAACAGAAATAGCAAAAGGAAAGGAGACAAGCAAAGCCGTTGAAACGGGCAGCTAAAAGGAACATTGTAGAAAGATCTTCAGATGATGCTGACATGTTAAAATTTATCTATGTAGCCAGGCTCAAAAACACACAGTTTGCTGTAATCACATGAAAACTTTCAACCGGATCAAGAGGTTCGTGTTTTTATTATAGGCAGTCAAAGTATTAAGCCTTATAATGTGTGCCATGGCACTGTGGAGAACCTGCCTGCAAGGCCAAAATTTTCTTCAAGCTTCTGTCGTAGGAAAGACAAAGAATTCAAAAACATTTCATTTCTAGATGAGGATGGGTGACAGATTCTCTCCTACAGTTATTGAGACAATATTAAGGACTGGAAATTTGGGTAATTTGGGCATTGAATCACATCCTCAACAGCCTGAAGACAGCTTAAAAATAAAAAAGGTCAGAGGAAGACAACAGGATAAAAGAACTCAATCACACAGAGGCCACAGCAAGTCCCAAATTCATATGAATTTAAATAACATTGTTCTTTCTATCAAGTCATATTTAATGGGAGAATGATGAAAAGACCTCAGCTGTAATGGCACACACTTTGATGGGATTTTAAAAATTTCTCAGTAAAACTTAATTCCCACCATAAATTTAACTAATTTTTCATAGGCTTCCACACCCCTGGATATGCTCCTGCCCAGGAGGTCCACGCCCCAGCTTGAGTGCTACCATTCCACCCTGCATGCAAGGGAAGGAAACATGCCTCCCTGGCTAGCTGCGAAACTACAGGATTTCCAACAGGTTTTTCTCCTCTCTGCACTGAGAGTTAAAGAGTATCTATAAGGACCAATTTCACTCTTCCAGCCACAGACAAAAACTAAAAAAACAACCCCATACAAAAACTCTTGGTTGACACAAACTGTTCATCCATAATTCAAATATTTTCATGGGGACCAGAGAAGCGCCCTTAGAATGACTATTTGGCAGCACCCATTCAGCAATGGTTTTAACTGTTTTTCTTGCCCTAATATTTTTCTTTCATAAAAGAGTTGCATAGGATGTAAACATTTTGTGAACGACAGAGAGGACAGGGATGTGGAGAAAGCACAGTCAGGAAGGAAGTCGAAGGTTATTTAAAATTCATCTGTATATGACAAATTAATGAGAAGGCTGGAAGCTTGTTTTTAAAAAACACAAGACAGTTCACTTCAAAGGCTTTCTGATTTTTTTAGGATTTTTTTTTTGCAGAAGAATATGTTCCACTGTTAGCAGCTTCAACTGTTTTTTCTCCTTCCAGTTGCTGGAATTACAGGCATGCTGTTTGTTCAGAGATAAGTAAAGAACAATTTAATGCAGACAAAAATTATTTTTTGACTGCTCCGTTACCCCTTCTGGAGGCTGGCTGGACAGACAGCTTCACAATATGATTCCAGTCCTTCATTAAGGAATGGTTTCTTTCTTATTCTGTCTATGGCCATGTGCCTTCAGATTTTATTTTCCTTCTATGATGAGGGCCAACTAGATTTTTATTTTAATATAATTTTAATCTAGGCTCCTCCCACAAATTCTCAGACGTGCTTGTCACTTCAGACTGGTTGACTCACGGATCTCAGGAGCAATTTTTTGACAGTCTACATTGTTGCCTCAGTATGTTGTCTACACACTGCCCCACTGTTTCTCAAGATGTCTGCATGTATCTTCTCACTTGAACTCCATTTTCTTACCATTTCTGGTTTATTTTTAGCTGTTGTAAAAGAGGCTCCTTTAGCTTTATGTGATTACCCTCCACAAATGCTAACAAGTTTCCCTTTCTCTAGCAGACTCTAGCGTTGCACTCTCTCACTTTCCCCTTGGATTCTTTCACCTTCTTTCCCAGAGTAATTCCTTCAGACACGCTGAGATAAACGCTGCCAGACGTGATATGAATGCAAACATTTTAAGAGTTGTTTCTTTTTTCATTCTAAATATTAAATCTATATTAAGCATGACTAAAAGACTTCTTCAGCATATTTTATCATCAAGCTTAATATAATAAAAGGTGCAGGAGCTTCAGACAGGATGTAACTATGCTATCACAATAATCACCATTATGAAATAATGTTCTGTACTTCTTGAGAAACAATCTCTTAAAATGGTTATTTCTGAGAGCAGTTGTACATGAAGATCAGAATGAAGTAATAAACTGAACTGGCCAAGAATTATCAAGTCCACACCAGAAGCTCATTCTGAAAATTAGCTCACTAGCAATTCAAAAGTGATCAAGGGATTATACTCATCTACTGCATGACCATCTCTGCAAAGAAGAGGACAAAGAGCAGAAAAACTAACAACCTTTCTGCTTTTTCTATTTGCTTACTTAAAATAATCACAACATTGCGAAAGAAATAGAGCTCGTATTTATATGGAAATGGAAATCACTTCACCATTACTACCTTTCGCACTCACTTGGGTATCTGGCCATATTAACCTACCTCTTTTTGACAGCTTAGCACCAATGTGCACAGAAGAAACAATACGATTAAGGAAAAAATATTGAGTTATGAGTGGTGGACAATATTTGTTTAATACTGAATGCTATCAAGGCATGTGCAGCAAGCCTGAAAATTCGCAAGTAAAATACATCACAACAAAAATTAGCGGAATAAACTAGAGTCAACAGGGTTTCATACTCATGAAGCCTTTGCATTTAAAATTCTCAATTATTTTATTTATTTATATTTTTTAATATTTGTGACCCATTTGAATCAGAGAGGAAATCAGTGGCAGGTTCAAAAACAGGTTTAATTCCACAGATGCCCTGACTTCCTGGTGGCAAAAGGAAGTACTAGTATTTTACCAAAATAAACATTCCAGGCTATCAATCTATTCTATCTTTTTTTTAAAGGAAGTGCAGATATATCTACAACATAGAACCATACCATTTTGTATCTGGGAGTAATGCATTCCTTAGAATAGTGAGGGGGGATAGGGAAAAAAACAAAACAAAACAAAGAGCTTCATTCAATTGTGCTGTTTGGCAGTTCTCTCTATTTGTTTAATATCAGGCCATCAAAGCAACATGCAATACCCTTACTGTCCTTGGGCACTCTGAATCAGACAATCTGGAGAGCTTTCCCACTAAAAGCCTGCTAGGCTTTTACTACCAGGTATCTTCAAGAAATTAGAATTCCTAACTTTGAATAAATTATTTAACAAATTAAATGAAGAACAGATGTGTGCATCAGATATTCTTAATTAGATCCCTTAGCAAAGAATGAGGCAATCCACAATTCTAATTTTAAAACCAAACCAGTGCTTCACTGAACATCCTCTCTTCAATATAACCATGGTTTCTACATAATTTAGTTACACATTTTGAAATTAAACAGTAAATGACTCAAAAAAAAACCAAAACAAAAAAAGAAGAAACATTCGTGGAGTGGAGGAAGGGCTTTCTGATTCAAGTTTTTTTTACCTCACAAAGTAGTAAGTCAATGATGTGGAAGACCATGCAGAGTGGAAACTTGGCAGTAAAAAGAGTGAGGAACCACTGGGATGCATACATATGAGCTTCCAAATTGAGGTCTGAGAAATGGCTATACAAGTCTGGTAACTGCTCCTAGAGTAAAGGAAAAAATAAATGCTTCAGTATTACTCATTATTCTGAGTTCTTCATCTACACTGCCAGTAAGTACCAGGTTGCTAAACACTGAAAAACACAACAAAGTGAAATCCTGGCTTCTTTTGAGCAATGGAAATATGTTTCTTCATAAATTTCAGTGCCCATGGTTACAGTTTTTAGTAAGATATCCGCTGTGGATTCTATCACAGTATCAAATAATGTACTGAGATTATACTGAGAAATTACAAAACCTCCAACAGTCAAAAGGCAGAGCGGTTGTGAAATCTATGTCATGCATAGTGTATATTTTTAAGTTATTCCTTTGCTGTGTCTTGCTATAAATGCTTCTGCTATAAAAACCAATGGATACCAGAACAAGATCACCTTGCGGAGCTTGAAAGCAAAAAAGCCCACAACTCCATCAGACAATTTCTCTAACTAGGAGTATATATAAGCAACACAAAATAAGCACTGATAATTCTACTGTACACTGATGATATATTCATATTCAGTTAATAAAGTAAAAATCTTTGTTAACATATGTAAATATTGAGAAGACCATATGCCGAAGTTAAGTATCAAATTACTTAGCATACAATTCTACTTCATCAAGTAGGAAATATGCGCAGTTTGACATCTGGAAAAAAAGATCATTAAATTAACTGTGGTCTGTTTTGTTTGGTTTTAATATATCTCACAGAGGTATATATGGTCATCTATGGTAACTGACTCCATCAGCTAGCTTTCACTATGCTAACAGAAGCGCAGGTCAAAGCTTAATGGGCTGTTAGTAATTGCTTATTAGTCAGAACAAAAATGTGTAAAACTTGCAGCCGTTTATTTAAGTTAAACTACTCTGACTATGAAATAATTCCATCTGAAAAAAGAGCAATGTATTGAAAACACAGTAACAAATGACCTACACTTGACTCATATTTCATAAGCATCAGGATGTCCTGATTTGCCTGACCTCTTAACCATCAACATAATTCATAGAAAGTAGGACACTGATGGTGGCAGTCCAAAAGATATTCTGGCCTTAACAGAACAGAGACATTCTCTCTAAGCAACATCACGAAATAGGGAAAAGAGAGTAAGCAAACAAAGAGATAAAAAAACAGATACCTACTCCGCTTGGATACAAAGATTAGCAGAAAGATTGGTATATGAAAGACAAAAAGAAATGAGAAATAAATCTGACTCACGATGTTTGGATCCAGATATTAAACTTCCCTACTTTGGTTCTACCCCACCTCTAAAAGGAGAGGGTTTTTATTGTCCAGTAGCTTATGGAAGCAAAGCATTAATCTCTTCTTCATGCCAGCATTTCCATTTATGAAAGTAGAAGAATTTGTTACCCTGGCCCCACCTGCATTAACTTCTCCAGCTGGAAAAATTTGCAATGGAGATCTTCAAAGTTATTTCTGTAGAGGTCCCTCAAGCCATAGTCATACATTATTTTCACAAATACACAGAATGCCTGCTCCTCCGGCATCTGTTTGGAAAAATACACAAACATAATTTTAAAAACTGAGCTGAGGCTGTAAATTCCTTACACAAATACTCACACTTAAATACCTTATGCATGATGAATTCAGAACCAGGAATATATTAAAATTTTCAGCAAAGCACTCTGAATGTAGAATTAAGCAACTAAAATCTCAAGGGGACTATTCCCCTTGATGAGCACCTTGATTTGGCTCTGTAAGACCTTCTTTGAAGAAAATGTGGGATCCTTATAAGTATACATCCCTACAGCAGCACAGCTGTCCTAAGTAGTCTTTCTGCCAAATAGATATGAAAACAACCAGTACACAACTCCCAGCTACAGAACAACAACTTAAAAAAAAAAAAAAAACAAAGAAGGGAAGAAAAGAAAAAAACAACTCATTATAGTGATTTCTACTGAGAGGGACTTGGTTAAAAGGGAAAAATTCAGGAAAACTAGGGTATAACCAACCCTTATTGAGAATAATGCTTATCTACTTTCATCCAAACCCCAGCGCATCGAACTCTGAAGTCAGGTTTCCCACAATGAATAAGGAAATAACAAATTTTGCCTTCAGAACCTACTTGTGAGCTCAGGAGCGCTGATCCCATCTACTAACATCATGACTTTTTCAGAAGCCCCATCTCCATAATCTCTACTTCATTTTGACCAAAATTTCTCATCCAACAGAGTTTTAGAAGGTGGTACTAAAGGACAAGCTGTGTGAGCCACTCTAAAGTTACATTTGTTGGCTTGAGCCCACTGAACGTCAAATTTGTGGGAAACCCTGTGTTATGAAACCTCTACTGATAAAGACATCTCCCCCATTTCCCCCCTGCCTTCAGGTAACACAATAATAAGATAGGCACAAGCAGAGTCACTGCAGACCCTAAATTAGGTTTTCAATCACATTTAAAAACAACCTTTCTTTTGGAGGCACCAGATTGTAACAAATGAAAACAATTATTGAGTATCAAGAATGACAACTCTTGACCTTTTAGTATATTCACTCATTCAGCCTCTTGCCAACCCCTTACCAAATATCAGCAATAGATAAAAGCTCAGTATTTTCTTCAAAGAGAATTTTAGTCTCTTGATATTTACCATCCAGGGTTTCATCTTTCATGGTTCAGCCTATGATTATGGCCTGTCTCTAGGGCCATGGGCAGACACTTTCATTTTCACACAGCATATATGAAAGTAACTAGTTAGCACAAAGAACTGCCAGATCAGCTGCTAGCTACCTGTCCAGGCTAGATTCACCTAAGACAAGCTCTTAGGAATCTCAAAGCTCTTTATCACAATTTTATCTGAATTGAATGATCCCCACTGACAGCAGATAAATGTGCGCACAAAGTAAAGGGAAGAAATAGTTTTATCCTGACCAAAAGCCTTGAATCTGCTCTATAATAAGATGAATGCAAATTTCAATTTTTTTGTAAGGGAACAATTATTTCTAATAAAATGACAGATGTTCATGCACAAGCACACCTACCTTGCATGCTCAATCAGACACACGTGCATTGACAATCATTCCTCCCCCGAGACACGGAGAGGGAACAGAGGTGAGTACTAGGCCAAAGTCGTTTACAGGCAGAGGCCACCGAGTCCTCGCTCTCAGTGCATGGAGGTTCTTCAATATTACCAACCCCAAGAATTCAAAATCATTAATCAAGTTTTCATTTTTTATTTATTTTAAACAAAACACATTTTTTTGGTGCTTCCATTCTGATTTTTAGCATTTAGATATTTGCCCCTTATTATCTTTTCTTTGGAATCACAAAAGCCAGAAATTTACCCTTTTTTTAAATTAAATTTTAGTTTTTCACATAGCAATGACTCCAAGAGGTAGACAATAAGAAAAAAAAGTCAAATACTGCGAGACTTACAGTAAAACAATTAGAGTTGGCAACATCGTCCCCCTGTGATTAGAAGTTACCTGCTCACCTTTGATGGAAATTTCATCAAAGCAGCAAAATCACAAAAAGCCAGGATGGAGGTTCAGGCTACCCAACCATCCCTGAAACATATCTACACTGAAGAGAAAGGATATCCTGTCCCAGAAAAAAAAGGGAAAGGAAGGGGTCTAGAAATCCATGCAAAGATAGAAGAGTTAAGAGAGGGTCTTAGAAGCATTCACAGCATACAGACTGGTTGGAGAATTTGAGAAAAACAAGAGTTTGAGGACATCCTGGGAAGCTCCCAACTTACATGAGCTCATTGAGACTGCCTCCCTTCCCCCCTTTCTCTGATTATTTCAGTTTAATAGCCTATTACGAAAGCAAATGTTATAAAGGGCATATTAAAATGAGTGTAATTGCCATTTAGTATTCCCTGTGTACAGGGCAATTTCTTCTAACTCCAGAAACACTAGAAACAGAGGTGATTCTCTATAGTAATGACAGCATTCAACTAAGTGAGAGGAGCTGAAGTATTAGTCAAATGTTAAGAATGTGACGCCCACTCTTTTCTAAACAACTCTGGTATTGAAAACAGCTTATTCTTCCAGTGGAACTTAAAAATCCTTCTTTGGGTAAGAAGTTAATTGCAAAATAACTGTTAGATAAGCTAATTTGCAGTATATGCAGGCTTGCAATAATGTGACTAATTTCAGGTTTATCCTTACAGACTCTAAAGCTTCTCTGAAACACTGTCACTGTGTATCATGCTCCTTAAGTCTTCAAGGAGTCATAGATCTCACTAGGAATTACAACTTAAATTAATCTGAATTTGAGTTCTACATGCCATAGGAAGTGCATGTGTAACATATCTACCACCAACAGCTGACTCAAAACCACAATCTGAAATGTATTTCAACCATGATTAATAATTTATTAATTAAAGCCTGACAGAAAAAGCAGGCAAGAGCCTGAGTAAGAGTTGTTGTTGGGGTTTTGGGTGGTTTATTCAGATATTCTTTACAACATCCATACTACTTGAATCTGCTGCTTTTCCACTGATACATCAAAGTTAAAGCATCTTGCAAATATAAAAATCATGTATTTATCTATCTATCTCTATAAATACACACACATGTATATATAGAAAGCAACAGATCAAAGTTTATACAGTTTTTGGTTACAGGCTAAAATATCAAGGTTAAAATTCAGCTTTCACTCCAAAGAGGTTATAAACTGTCCCTAGGAGAAAAAGTCTCACTGAAAATTAATGAGACTGCTTGCTCTGGTTAGCTACTCTGAGAGTATCTCCCAAAGTTAAATTCCATAAACACAAAGGCAGTTCACCTACGTGACAACTAAATTAAAAGAAAATATTAATATGTAACAAATCAGTTTCAGGTTTTGACACAGAAGTACTTGACAATTTAATGGATTTCTCCTAGATAAAGGAAATCTACATTCGTAAAGATAGAAGCCATTAGTCACTATTTGCCAAAAAGCAACAAGAGGAAAATGAATACAGACGAATAAACAACAGTAAATATCTGTCAAATAGCATGTTACAGCACTACTGATTTTAAAGCTGCTTTGGTTTCAAATATCAAAGCTCTCATTTTGCAATTAACTCACATGAAGTAGAAGCACAGCTGCAAGGAAAGACTGTCCCTGGCAATAGCCAATGTCTTCATCATAGACAGAGTACGCCTAGAAAAAATAAAAGTCAACATATATGTAAAATGCACGCAGGCATTATCAAAATGTGTAATAATCAAAGAGCTACTCAGAATATGTAATACTATGCAGGCTAAAATAATAAAGGAAGTGAAACTGTAACCATTCTTGCATAAGCTTTCAGGGCACTTAAGAAAACATCTACAGGTCATCCTCAATCTTCCATAGATGCCATATTTGTAAATTTTTATTTTTCGAACAGCATGCAAAGAGTTGGATGCAATTTCCCTTCACCTAAATCAAGGATAATTCTGCTGAGGTCAGTAATGATATAACTTTAACGGTATAACAAATATGATACAAAAACCAGGTTAGTTTGTGTTGTGGGGAGAGTGCTCACTTGGTTTTGGAAAAACAAGTTCTGACATCATGAAAGTATAGGACCTGAGGTTGGTTGTTAGAAAACCACTGAGAACTACTCTAGCCTGAAAATTTCATCAGAAACAGTTTTTCCATGTTCTTGTTATGCTGAAGAATGAACAAGACTCATTTTCCTATGGTATGACTGACATACTACTTTTTTCTTACTCTTAAAAAAACAAAACTAAAATAACCAACCTGTCCTTCCCCCTTACTTTTCCAAGACAAGAAGACAGATACTGTTTTTAAAGAGATATCAGAGAATGTTAAGAATTTGAGGAAACCTGAGAAAGTATAAGCAGCAGCAGGATTGACATCGGAGAGAGAGACATCCTGAGAGAATAAGCAAGGTACTAAGGTTACAGCCAGGGAAAACAAAAGCACAAGGTCAGAACTACGGGGAGGAACAAGCCACATGAATCAGAAAATCCACTTTGCCCCCACACTGCCTCCAAGACCATTTACAGATGAGAATGTTTCAAACTGGAACACCGTGCTCATCTTTTTTTAAGTCTTGAATTAAATCAAGATTGCAAATTTACTGAATGGAAGCACAGAGAGACTACGAATAAATAACGTCAGGTATACTGGGGAATCGAACGCACCTGGGTCTACTGTACAATATTTCAAAGGCGGCTCAGCTGCCTCTTCAAAAGGTAAGAAGAACTGGGACTCAAAAAGAGATGTGACTCCTTTCCAGCCAACAGTATTAACATACTTGCAAATAATTTCTGCCTGAAATGTTGAAATGGAGGCCAAAACATATTTAAAGTCTTTAAACCACTTTTCCTTTTTCATTCTGATGGGCAACAACTAAGAAAGAAATATTTATAAGGAATTCTGTAATGATTCCAGAAGAGAAGATTTCTGTAAATAATACAACCTGAGTCTTCCTTTAAAGGTCACTGTTTATAAACAATTCATCCATACATTTCCTAATACATTTGTAGCTTTGTGAAAAACTTAACTGTGACTTACAGCTCTTTGCTATTTGTCTATACAGCTCACCATTCTTTTGAAGTATGTTAAATGGGATTAGTTAGAATGTGAGTGAAAATAATCCCAATCCATTGCTCAGTTTCAGTGGTCAAACAAATACAAGAAGACTAGTCATATAAATTATTGAAAAATATTTAATGAACCACTACAATCTGCTTACTAGTTTAAAGTAATAGCTCTAGCCACAAAAGTAAAATATAAAAAATAACTCCAGAAGTGTACAATAGCAGATACAAAACTTTGAATTGGACAAAAAGGATGCTCTCTTGGAAAAAGTTAATTTAAAAATTACTCTTTAGCTACTAAGCACTGAATTAACAGAAATTACTTTCAACACTTAAGTTAATATTGCAAATGACGAATTAGAACCATCCACTGGTTAATCATTATCATCATGAGTCTTTATCTATTTTTCCCCCAAATCTATCAGTTTATGGATGCCTAATATTTTATTTCTGTGGCATTCCTAAAAGATGTATTATTTCTGCTTTTGAAAGGCCAGCTCTGCTTTGAAACAGATATGCAGAATTACAAACAATAAATTTGATTTAGGATTTCTTCATGCTATGTAACAACACTCTTACTTTACCTAAAAAAAAAAAAATCCATGCTGAAAAATTAATAGCAAATTATCAACGTGTGGGGGTTCTCTGTTGTGAGAAGCATTATTAGCACAAGAGCTAATCATTTCCTGAAAACAGCAATAAATTAATCCAAACAAGTTTTAAAATAACTATTGAGAAACCAACACATTGGAACAAACAAACTGCCTCCAAAACTGACATAGATTAAAAAGTAAAGAAAGTTATCAGAAATAAAAAGATACTCCTTTTGAGATCGTGAAAGAATTCAAAATTATGGCAAAAGAGGGAAAACGGGGAGGGTGCAAAAAAATCCTCACTCTGCATGTTAAATATAAAAATATGAAGGAAGACCAAGAAATGTTCTCATAATCAACTTCCTAAACACATTAAAATGAGTAATAAATCCATTTCAAACACATCCAGAGCAGGAAGGGAAAGCCTCTACTTGGAAAATACATGATCAAGGTAGAAAAGTTGTATTTAAACTATAGCAGAAAATCCACATGAACTTTCCTTGTGTCTGTTTTATTACAGAAGAATCACAGGGGTTGTCATCCTGCTGGAACCATTTCTAACAGGGGATGTGTTGAAGGATCTGTCTCCAATTGAGTATCAGAAGAGATGATAAATTAAAAGGAATAAAAATACTAAAAATTTATTAAGAACAGACAGTATTCACCCAAAAACTGGGGGTGGGGGTGGGGGGTGGGGGAGGGGGTGGTGTAAACTGGTAAACCATTAATTGGCTGATTAAATCAGAAGAATAGATGACAAATTTGAAACATTTGTAAAAAGAGCTGATCCATAGAACTACAAATCAATAAGCACTGGATAATTTTGTTTAAAAAAAAATATTTCAAATTAATTAGTGGACACAGATATACATAGGATATATAAGAGGGCCCCAGTAAAAGGATGTCACCATTAACAAATCTCTGAAGCAACCAACAACTGTGAAAAAAAAAATATTAACTGTTTGATCTGCTTGCTTTTTGAAATTAATTTCCACTAGGTCCTTCCCCAAAATCTGATCTTCACAAGCAGCTGTTATCAGATACTTAGATACTAACTTCAGTTCTGCATGAGAATGAGATCAAACTGAGAATGATTCTGCTGTTAAGTCAAAGCATCATAACCCTGGCAACTAAAGATTTACTTTTTAACGAAGACTCTAAAATCTACATGATTTCATTGTATTTGCCCAAAGCAAAGAGTGTTTTGAAGCTTTATGCATATTACATTTCCAATTATACTTTTTTTAGTTTTAAGTAACCTATGGGACTTGATATTGCTGAAATACGATGTATTTAACCAAAATAGCCTCAAAAATAAGGATACTGCCTACAGATACCACCATAATTTCATATTATTAACAAAGGATCTAAGATTAATTATTTAAGATTTACCCTTTTAAGGGACTGAGGAGCATTAACCTTGTCTTTCCACGTGAAATACAAAAACAAAGCAAAATCCCAAATCCCCTATTGCCATTGCAATCATTGTAACTCTGTAATTTCAAGAGAATGGGATTTTTCCCATGACAACCTGCAACTATGTTGCAGTCTTTTAAGTTATTATTTTCTTAAAGCTCTTGGGGAAACTCCAATCACAATACTCCAGTTCTGTCTCATAAATGGGACTTAATGAAGATTCTAACTTGAAGCCTACTTTCATTCATTTTAACTAAATGAAGATCTCACAGAATTAAAACATCTTTTTAATAGTTATCTGTCTTCTGAAGAGAAGAACTGCTATGCAGCTATTAGTACAACATCATTAGAAAGTTAATACTTTGGAAGCAAGTCTCCTCAAATAAAGTCAATGATAGAGAACTGCCTGCATGTTGGGAAAGTGAATGAAGAATCCAGAGATGGACAGAAATTCTTCTCTAAAATAATTAATGGAGGAAAATCTCCCAAGATCGGAATCTCCTGTAGACAGAAAAATTCCAAGTAGGTAGCATTTAAAAGACGAATGGAAAGGTTGCTGATTTGAATTTAAAACCTCAGATTTGGGATTTCTGCAACCACTGTGTATAAGTTCCAGCAGTTTTAAAAAAGGAAGAGTAGAGAGTACATCTCAAATTCCAGAATGAAATGTTTTTCATCATTTTGCATCCTCATAAGCATGAAAATGATTGCTTATACTTGCTGAAGGTTCAAATGTACTTAAAACAATAAAATGCAAAACACTAACTAGCAAATATCAGCTTACAATCACATCGCCAACTTGCCTTTACCATAGTAACTCAATGACATTAGAAACTAAACATTACAATTACATTAGAAACTAAAGAGAGCTCATTAAAAATATTTCTCTAGTGCCTGCCTCATACAAAGGTCTTACATTTCCAGAGCTTTCATTCACCCCCCCTCCCCCCCGCATGGCAATGCAGAGGGAAAGCTATGAGCAGAGGCTCTACAGATCTCCATCTCTCATCTGCAATAACGGTATCTCTCCTGTCAGTAATAATGTTTTCTGGCACAGGAAACACTCACTTCTCTGAAAAAGCGACAGGCACAATGGCACGATGCTTGTTAACAACCACACGAGATACGCAGCATCTGTGTCCCAGGAAAAAGGAAAATGTAACAGGAATTGAATGCAAGTTTTTTTGGGGAGAATTACAAGCCTGATTTGCTCTCATTACTTACCTTTGTGTCGCTACCAAAATGATAGAAATGATCTAGGGAATCTACTCAAAGTTTGATACAGACATAGCTCTGTGCTGAAGTCTGTTCTAGTAGAGGTAGAAGACTTACACGGTGTCTGAAAAACAGACTGTCTCAAGAAAACATCCATACTTTGATGCGGACTTCTCACGCAACAACATATTTTATGACATGCTTGGTCACTGAATAACTTTAGTGATAGTGTAATTTAAAACTCCATACCTAAATGTATTATAAGGCTAACAGTCTGAAAGTAATAATATTCTTATGACTGCAGCATTTAGGATTTATCACATTATACAAGGAATTTCTGTGTTAACTGAGAACTGTATTTTCAGAAATTAGTTACTCATTTATTGAGTATCAGGGAGAGGTACATGTACGTTATATAATATGCCTCCTCCAGAGCTATAAGGGCTGAGAGAACGAAGAAATCTTCACTAAAGCCTTTAGTCTCTTTCCAGCATTCAAGATTCACAATCCTGACCTTTTCACTAGTACAGTCTCAGCAGAAACCCCATACGCAAGAGCAGTACTACTGCTTCCTTGCTGAGCGCAGACGCACAGAGAAGGAACCTTATTAATATGTAAATGGAAGAAGACAAGATAACATTAAAAATCCTTTGCATGAAACAAGACAACAATATTTACTAAAATTGCTCTTCAACCCAGGAGCAAAGAAAATAAACAACTAAAAATAGACGAAAAATAATTCTTAACTGATTCTGTTTATGCTCCTGTGTTTATTCTAAAATTGGCAAATAGACTCCTATAGGAAAGAACGAGATCTGCTCTCTGACAAATAATTAAACCAAAGTGGACAAATACTGAAACCTCCCATTTGTAAATCTGAGGAGATACTAAGGATTGAAAAATGTGGAAGAATACGTGCATGCTGAGAAGAGGTGATGAACCAAAAAAAGATGCTGCAATGAAATGGAAATGAAAATGTAAAAAAAAGGATTAAAGTTAGACAATTAGCTTACAGGACAGCACTAAGCAGCAGTTCTGCCATGCTGAAGGATGAGCCAAAGAGTAATCCATCATTCGCAGCTTATCACAGTATAGAAGCTACTGGTCACAGAAGGGCAACTCAAAGACATTTTCACATTTCAATTATACAGCAAAGAAAGCCAAAAAACCCATACTGGAGCCCATTCAGTATTGGATTTGCTAGAGAAACAATTTATTATTCCCTCTACTAGTGTGGGTACCAACAGGCAGACAGACATTGGAACGATGACTAAAACGGAGTGTTTCGTTTCACAGTAAACCAGCTATCACACTGATCCTGTGCATAAAACCTTCAGGCAAGTATGACTTGGATTAGGAAAAAACTACAAATTTGATCAGCCAAGGAGATAAGTATTTAGTAACAAAATATGTCATGATACAAATGATTCATATCCTTTCATAATGCCTTTGTTGACTGGAAAACACTAACACCAACTTTGAATCTCTGGAAAGTAATTCAACCATTTTCAGAAAAACAGGGAAGCGTTGTGTCTATTTTTCCAGTTTGCCCAGTACGAACACTCACCTGGCTAACCTGACTGATTTCCCTGCAACATGCTCCCTTTCTCCTATTAAAGTCACAGTGGTTGTTTGTCAAATAGGAGTTACTTTAATCAGAAAATTAGAGAAAACACATCTCATTAAATTCTGCACTGCATACACTCCAAACAGTTGAGAGGACTATTTCTGCCAAGTGCTTTCATTCCCTGGAGCATCGAGCTGTTAACTACATACGCACACATAGAAGTAGGTTGAGAGTACTATTCTGTTATGCATTGTAACGCAGAGAACGAGCTCTTTAAATAGAGCTAGAATTCGCATAGTATTTAAACAGAAAGCGTGCAAGAAACAGAACTATTTTCCCAAGGATGTTTGAATAAGCTAGATTTGTGGAGAGCAATGTCCTCAAGTGAAATCTCCAATCTAGAATCTGGAACTCTTTTCATTCCTTATCACCACTGTCAGCCTTAAAGTTTATTTTTAGATACTTTGTCACATAAATGTTCTGCAACTGAAAAAGTTTCCATCTTTCCTGATTTCCTACTGTTCTGAAGAAGAGATTAAGAGACAGAACTAAAACTGACAGACCCGTTAAAATGAGGCAGTGAGCTTTTAATGGCTTTCCTTTTTATCTGACAGTTCAGATCATCTCTCATTTCAGTGGGGAATGAAGAAAATGCTCTTCAGCTTTTTACCCTCCCACTTGAGGACAGACCTTTTCTAGCCTTATTCAATAATCCCATTCTTCAAGTATGTTGCTTTCATATTAGAAGAAGGGCACGAGTGCACAGCACCTCTGTTAAAAGTTATTCTAGTAATACAAACCAGCCACAATATTACTTTCAACACAGATTATTAATTTTTTTTCCCAACAGAATGACAAGTTTATAAGCAAATTAATTAGCTTTTAACAATATTTCTCTAAAACTCACCACATCAATCATAAACTCCAGGTCCAGTCAGACCCAGCCATAGACAGGTCATCTCTAGAACAGAGCCATAGCCATTTAAGAAAACAGTGTAAGGATGAAGGAAAAGTTGCTGCCTAGAAATCTACATAGCAGTTGCGTCTGATCTCAATACTGGCAAGTAGGTAGAAACTGTCAAGAATAAAATCAGTAAACTTATGAATAATTCAATGCTGAAGATTGGATATGGTTGTTCTACCAGGAAGCAATGCTTCCCAAATCCTTCTTTGAACCAGTAAGCACATAAAAGAATGAGGCAGTCAATAGAGTCTACTAGGATTTTTAGAAAACCTTCAACAAGATCCCTTCCCAAAAGCTTTTTAGTGAACTAAGGTGCCATAGAAGGTCCTCTTATGCACTCAAATAATTGATTAAAGGATAGAAAGCAAAAGGTAGGAATAAACAGTCAGTTCTCACCCACAGAATGAAGGTGAGGTCACTCACAGAACCTTACAGAAAGACGTGCTAGGGCTGATGCTGTTGAAAATATTCACAAATCATATAGAACACATAAAAATAGCACAGTAGCAAAGACTGCTGATGAGGCAAAGCTGTTTAGAGCAGTAACTTAAAGGCTGACTGCAAAGATGCTATGCAGAATGTGGTCATATCAAGAGAAAGTGGCAAAGTGGCAGAGGTCATCCAACTGTAGATAAAAACAAAATGCTTCACAGGAAAAGCAGTCCTCAACTTGATGTATACACTGACAGGCCTCTGATCTAGATCTTCCAAGAAAAGAGGACCGACATCTGCAGCAACCTTCTCTGCAGGAGCAGAAGAGGCCCTGCAAGCAGGGAAGGCTCCCAGCTTTGGAAGACAAGTAGACTTCTTCACTTTTACTACAGAAAACCCGGGAAGGTCTGAGATCTCTGCCTCTGTGAAGCTGCCTGCTAGACAAATAATTCCTTTATGTCGCTTCTAGTTCAGACAGATTCATTCCTTTATCTTCTGTTTATTAAACAAAATAGACTGAGATACTCATTTGTGAAAAAGAGTTTTTCTTTCTGAAGTATGTTCCCGAATCCTTTCATCATCCTCATGGAACTTATACAGATTCTTTCCAATGTAGAAGTAGTCGTCTTTAATTCTGGACACAGTAATCAAAAGCAGCTGCAGCAGCTGTAAAATACTGAGTTACTTAAGTCATTCTATTCCTACACAAGATTCATCTATCTATACGTTCATTAACACCTCATTATTTACCATTCCCTTTTTCTCTGTGTCATCAAGATATCTTTATCAGAAATTATTTTTCTGTTTTCTTTTAGGTGACAAACCAGAGTACATCGAATGAACAAGTGATCTTCATGATGTCTGAAATACATTTATTCAGTGCTGATGTTTAGTAGCCTGCTAACTAGCCAGTTTTTAATTCTTTAATGTCTATCTTGTTCGTGTTTTAACTTGTCCAGCATTTATACATTTTTTGCACGGCAAACTACACAATCTACAGAATTTTGATAAAATTACCTTCACCGATGAAACCTCTATTTTTATTTTTTTGTATTAGCTTGTCAAGATCTATTTTCAGTAAATTCATAGGCATTTCTTGTAATACACTTCTCACATTTAATTCTTGATAAGCTGAATGCTGTTCCATCATTTTTCACTTAACTGATATCAAACTGACATCAAACTGACAAGCCCACAATTACCTGCATTGTCCTAGTTATTCTTTTCAAAGATTGGCACAGGAACAGTTTTCTTATAGCCATCTAGACCCCTCCAAGATTAGTGAGAAATCAATATAATTGGTTCAAAGTTCTTTCTGCTCCTTTATTTTTTACTTTTTTTTTTTTAACGAGGGTTACTCATGACAATGAACTTCAATATATGTAACCAAAGCAGCTATATTTAACAGTCGTCCAAATTATTGTTTGAATAGGAGTCTGTATCATCATAGAATTTATCTGGAGAACAGGAATATGTATCATTATACCCCAAAGGCAGGACACTCTTTTCTGCTTGTTATGACAACTCCGTCATTTCTGTCTATTAATCAACTGGAGCTGGAAACAGAGTAACAAGGAAAAGGAAGGGAAGTGGAAATGGATTTGTCTATTGCAATTATTTATTCTACACATAGAAAAAAAAAAGTAAACCAAAAAATGCCTACCAGAAACACAATAAAATCTGCAACTGACAGCCAGACAACTCCCTATCTAGCTGCAATATTCTACCTTCTGGATCTCTCCTGAGAAACAAAAGTCTGTCTGTACAAGCTGGAAAAATCTGTTCATTTAGTACCTCAACTTCCCCATGTGCAAGTTGGAAAAAATTAGATCTTTCTTCGATCAGAGGTGATCAGAGGTGATCTGAGAGCTATGAGTGAAAAGCTATACATACACATTGCTTGTGGAAAGGTCAGCTAACTTGTTCTTTAGATAATTTTCTAGAGATATTGTTGCTTAACCTCATAGCAGAGCTTGCTCTGAGGGTTTCTCTTCCTCTGCAAACCTCTCTACTAGCAGAGCAAAAAAAGTTCTACTACACCACGCTTCTACTGAAGCGGACCTCTGATATCAAACTACCCATTAGTAAAGCTAGCTTGAGCCTCGCTCTTCTCATACGCGTTGTAGGAGACACAAAACGCAAGGTTATAAAAAGTACTCCAGGATATCCAGTACTGCAGAAACACTACACTCTCCACATGCAATCTAAATAAAGCTTTAAAATCTTATTGATTAGTGACTTGGATCAGAACGGGGTTAGCAGGGCAAAATACAGTCATAGGAAAATATGGAACACACTTTAAAATGCATAGTACTGACTGTACCTTACAGATTTTGTATAGAGATTCCTGACCGTCTCCTTCTGTATCTTTGAAATAATCATGTGCTGGAAACGTACGATGAATATCTCGTGTAATGACACTCTCTTGAGCAGAATCCTGTAAAAAAGAGAGAAAAATCCTCAAGTATTAGCCCAGTAACAGTGTAATTAAGCATAACAGAATATAAAATTCTATGTGCAGTCAACGTGGATACATTAGATAACTGCTTTACTGACTCATCCTCTAAAAATGCTTTGAGAAGAAACTGAAAATCCTCTAGTCGTGTATGCAGTAATAATTTGACAGTTTAACAAGAGCAACGTGGCATGTTTTCTGTCCTTCAGGCTTACAATTCAACTTTAACATTCACAGGAAATGACTAGTTATTTAATTGTAGGTGCATTTTTACCACAGAACATACGCTTACTGTATTTCTCTTGGAGTTAAAAAAAAAAAAGAAAAGAAAATTAGACTGTCTCTCTCTTGCAAGCTCAGAGGTATTAAAATGTATGTCAATCTACCATAAAAACAGTGTTAATTACAAATTAGAACTATTACTTAGAAATGTTCAAAGTTTACCATTAAGTGGTCTTTAAAAGAACAAAAACAGAAGAAGTACCAGAGAATGTTGTACTTTCAGATAAAACCCATATCTTTCTTCGCTACCATCTCCAACTAAATTACATTTTTACATTCACTAGCAACTAGGGACGAGTTCAGGTGCCTAAACATTTGTGTCAAACACCATTTCAGAAGCCCAAAGATAATCTTGCCTGGTAAGCAGCTGCTACTGCAGAAGGATACAAGTCTGCTCTAAGTGCTGCATCATCTCTGCAAGCTCCATGTGGCTGATCTGCATATCCAAAGACAGCTAAAATGACACCAAATGCCCACGTTTAGGCAACTGAGTTGTTCCCTAGACATACCTAGCTCTGTAGATAAAGAAATAATTGTTTATGATAATGCATTTCTATAAAAAGATGGAAATCATTGCAATCAGACCTGAGAAATACCACTGTGTGTATGAAAAAGTGGTATCAAAACGTCAAAGCTGGAACTACAACAGTTAATCAATTATCTTCAGGTTCCAGTTACCCTCGGTATGAGATAGTACCTTTAGGTTGGTAAATATCAAACAGTGCTTTTCCCTATTACCTTTGTAATCCTAAAGGAAAAAACAACAGAATCCTCACCTGTAACTTAGAAAATAAAGCCGTTATAAATACTTTTACCTTGAAAACAAAATATCTCTGTTATAGAAAAGCTTCTAAACCCTTAGACTGCAGTCTGTAATCCAGGACTCTCCATAAAAAAGCTTCTTTACACCTGCTGGAGTCAGCAACCAGGTAATTTCCCAAATTTAGGTGGTTTCCTAATCCCATACCTAAAGCCTCTATGGTGAGACTGTGCTATACCATAATGCAGCTGCCTGTGGGGACTTAGCCAGAAGTCCACAGCAATTCCCAACTACCGTTTCCTTTTGGGCCCATCCATAACCAATACACGCAAAGACATCACCCTGGGCTGTATCAGGCTACCTCAGAAATGAAAACCCATCATCATATTTCTCCATTCACTTCAATGGCAGCTAAGAAAATAGCTATAGTCGCAACAAGCATAAATGTCACTTCAAATTCAAATGTTTTCTAACAACACTCATTTGAGTATCACAGATAAGTGAAAAAAACAAAATTTTTTTAAAATCTGATTTTCTTCTATTCTCACCTGTCTTCTGATTTCCTTTGATTGTCTCAACACTCCACATTAAACTATGGCTTCATCTTTCTTCCACAACCATCTCTGCACTTAGCACAATCTTCCAGTTCTTGCACATAGAAGTCTTCCTTTTCCTTCTCTCTCAAACCTCTCCCTAAAATCCACAGCTTCTCTGAATCTTTGCCAACATTAATTTACCCATTTACGATATCCTAATTTTCAGTGATCTCAACTGTTGCTTTGCCTTTGCTTGACACTAACGTCTTTAGTAGAAGACAGTAACACAATCCGTGTTTTGTAAAATACCAGGCATATTGTTATGTGCTAAGAAAAGAAAGCTTACAAAAAGAGGTGATGTTTTTATTATGCTAACTGGCACTGCTGGAGAAAATAAACACGCTTTTGTGCTTTCACCAGGTTACCATCATGTTTTTCAGGATATGTAAGTATCATGCAACTATTAGTGACCAAAACTAACCACACAGTCTACATCACATGCAACAAAACACAGACTAATAATAAAAATTTAATAATAAGCCGTTCTTTAATCAGACTTCTTTAATAAGTATTTTCATTTACATGGCTTTCAAACACAAGCAAGACTAAATAATTGCAGTTGTCCTCCCAGATCGATCTGACAATTTAGTTACATTGTGAGGAAATGCCTTAAACAGCATTTAAGATCTACCAGTACAGCACAGTTACCGAGTCCATTAGAAAAATCTGTTACATTAATTCTTCAGCACAAATTTGAAAAGATCCAGGCATTTTAAAGAAAGTTACAGGAAGGCAACCACGTCCAGCACATACATTGCTTTTCTGTCAAGTAGGGAGATTGTGTTTGACTTCCCTCTATTTCTGTCTTTTCTTGAACTGAGAGGCCAACATATAATTGAGCACACAGAAGTTGACAAGGTAGATGCCCAAAGTAGGACCAAAAAATATTTGTGTAAAGGCCCAAATACAAATTCACTTGTACTGAGTTAAAAGGAGCCTGAAGCAGAGTCTTCATTCACCATTAACAACAGATGCTTCTAAAAAACTAGAGGAAAACAATTAAATGGACCCAAAATAAAATTTAAGCTGAAAGACAGGAGAATTAACTCCTTCTCAGAAAAAAACATCCATCTGAAATATGATAAACCCATAATCTAAGAGAAACGAGAAATGAGTCTAGAGTGAATATCAGTGTAGAATTACTTCTTAAAATATATAAAAAATATTTTGATTAAGTTTCCATCTTTTTCCAGATAGAATTTGTTGATAGCACTGTTCTCAGGAGTACCACAGCAGATGAGTTTACGGTTATCCTAATTCAGGTTTTCAGAGGATTTTTATTCTTCTGAAAGTCATGATCAGTTAATTTCTTATGAAAAAAGCTAAGGTGAGATGGCTATCAAAGCATTCAGAGTTTTAATGATCTTTCTCGCTTCTAATAATCATTTCTGTGCTGCCAACTCAGAGAAACAATATTCTACTGAGGAAAAGAATTGTCTTCATGTGTCAACTATATGACAGCTGACATTCTACTGAGCAAGCTCTCTGCTCTGAGTCGTCTCACTTTTAAAATAGCTAAACTTCTGCAACTGTGAAGCAACTGTACTGGGATACTAACTCCTTGATATTGCTGCCATTTTAAACTATTAAGATGCTGCTGAATGTGGACATTTGATGCCAGAAGGCAGACCGACATAGAAATACAGAAGAGAACAGAAAACTATTTATATTAAATAAATGTTAAAAGAAAATTAAGGGTACATAGGCATTCAAAATTAAGAAATATAGGGCAATCTTTATGCACGTCCATCAGGAATTATTTTTTAATTAAGAACATTTCACAGACACTCCAGAAAGAACCTCTGCTCATTTGTCATCCTGAGTGTACCCATTCTTGTGATGAATTACAGTTAGGGAGTAGAAGAGACTCCTGTAGGTAGAGCCTTGTTTCCTTTGTCACAAGAATTGGAGGATATGGTATGAGCCAGAAGAATGTAATAAAGAAAGAAAAATCTCTTGGGTCATGACATCTCAATGTTGTGTTAAGACTCAGATCCTTTCCCCACTTCTGCACAAAAGTCCTTACCTGAAACCAGGCACATCACTTAGACAAAAAAATTCCATGAGTGGTCACCTGAGTTTTCCTTACTATACAGCAGCCTCTGTTACAGCTGTCAACTCAATATGGACAAATGCAGAATTACTTACAGTTGCAATTAAAGGAACTGAAGAGTTTTACGTGAACACAAAAAAACCCTAAAAACAACCAACCAACCAACAAAACCCCAAACCAAAAAAAGGGTCACAGGTATCTCAAACCTGGCATTCAAACTGAGCAGTACTGATTCTGACCTCAATCTCCTTGTGCTCTATTTCCCTGGTTGATAATAATTCCCCATCTCAGCAGGGTGTAATGAAAATCAATTAACATCTGAAGCACTGAAATACTGTAGTGATGAGTCCTACAGAAATGTCAAAGAGGAAAATAATAACTTCATCCTCAAATCCTGATCTGAATGGTATATAGTAAGGCACAGGGTTACACAATGAAAAATAATAATGGGGAAGAAAACAAAAAAACAAAACAAAACAAAAAAGCTGCTCATTAGATAAGTACTATTCCTTCTGTATACAACAAGGCAGAGATCCTGGGAAGAAGACACCCAAAACCTCAGAACTATGTGTGATCAAGAATATATCATTATGCATGTGAGTAGGCAATTTTCATACTGTACTTCTTAACTTCCAAAGTCTTATCTCTAATCTTATCTCCTTCAAGTTTGGTTTTATCACATACATTTACATGCAAAAACAACATGATTTGTATGTGCTGGAGACTCAGTACAAGTTCACCTGAGTGGACCCATTTAAAAGGTCTGCATCTCTGGTGAGGTTCAAACAGCTGATTTTGCATCTAATTTTCCCACCCACGCTTCATCTCTTCACTAGCTAAAAATAGCCAGAATCCAGGGGGGGGGGGGGGAGGGGGGGTCAAAACGGGCTTTCAACATCTAAAACTACCATGCCCTGGAAATCGGGCATGTCATGCTCCTTCAGGATTAGATACTGAAACTTTTCTACACTTTGTATAGAAAGCAAAATCTCCCAGGCTGCTGTAGTTGTTCATCACTCTGGTTTAGCCAGAGACTGTGTGGAAACACACCACCTGCTGATAGCGGGAGTTAGAAGTACCCTCAATAAATCCATGCCTCTTAATCCTGAAAAGGTGTAAAATTAAATATTGACTTGCCAAGTGCACATTATTAGACATTATGAAAAAAACATATTAGGTTTCAGTATCCTAAGCATTTTGCTGAAGGAACAGATTTTTTGCATATTGCTTATTTTGTTTCTTAAAGTTCTTTGTGGTCCTGTACAGTTTCACACATGCGCACAAGGGAATA